AAAGGGGATCATAAAGGGTAAAAACAACCAGAATGAAGTGGGTTTTCTCTTTCTGATTGCCAAGGGTGGATGGGGCCTCATGACTAGACTTTGCTCTTCATATGATTCCCCCACATACACACACATACACTTTTTCCTTCTGAAAGTATAAAAACCTTTAGGTTTTCTCGGTGGACATCTAGATACTCAGATATATGGAGGAACAAGGCTCTCAACCTTCTTTATCTCAATTAAAGATGCCTTTTTCCTTCACTTATGAATTTGATTTATTTCAGAGCTCCCATTAAGGATGGTAGTTGTGGGATTAATTGGAGATTGTGTCTTGAGCTATCCTGGGAGTGAGCTTCTAAATGCTCTAGTACCAGCACAGGCCCCTTGTGCCCAAGTCCCCACCCATTGGATCTGTAAGTACCTAGTCCTGCTTGAATCTGACTGCCCATCATTTTCAGTTGAGTCACCATTTTAATTGAGAATACTGGTAAAGACCCATGGGAAATTTAGGGTCCTCTTTATCTGGCACCTTAAGGGAACTGCAGCCAGTTAAATGGCTTTCAAATATAGTTGGGATGCTTGCAAATTCTAGGATCTGATCCTTGAAAACTCTTGACCACATTCAGGGTCCTCAGATAAGGATAAAATTAACTATTTAAAGATGTACCTTGACAAAACAGAACCAAAAATCAAACACCCTGAATGGGACTCCTTTTATCAGTGGCTGTTAGAAGCCATTAAGAGGAAAATAGAATTTCAGCTTTCAATCTTCCAAAAACACATTTAAAAAAAACCTCAAAGTTGAAAAGAAGGAGGCATAATCTAAAATATTTCTCCTCTGGGAAGGATTAGGCCAATTGGAATCCAAAAGAAAGAAAATGAAATTAAAATAGAGTCTCAGGAGAGGTGAAAAACCTGATGGAGGTACTCAAGAATTTCATATATATAGGATCGAATCAAACCTGTATTTACACAGTGTTAGTTTTCAAGATCATTTTCCAATTAAAGGTTCAGCCTTAAAAGAAGGAAGAGAACTTACTCTCTAACCTCTGCTTCTCTGAGTTAGAACAACATTTCTTTCCATGCTTAGTTTCAGTCGGTCGGTTAGCATTTCTTACATTCCTACTGGATATCTTATTGATACAAAAAGTTATTACTCAATCTTTTAAAATTGGTGTGGAAAGAGGGCGAAGAGAACATCTAGAGAAAAGCTGGGACTGACATGTTGGGACCTGGTCTCTCTTAAATTCCTGCTCCTTTTACCTTTTTCCTGTCTCAATAGGCATACTATACAAACTAAGGTATTGGTTATAGAAATGTTTTTAACAAATGGGTGTGGATAATATGAGCATCTCGTGGATTAAAGGGGTCTAGCCTGGAATACAGTTTAGCACTTCTGCATAGCCCATTGTAAAAATGATTAGGATTCTCACCCTCTTGTCTCCAGAAAGTTCATCAAACAATATATCTCCACATAGAGAGATCAGAAGAAGAAAAAGGTTTGTATTGCCTGACAAAAACCACATTATCTTGATTAGACCACAGGGATAAATTTTTAGGTAACCTAATGGCTTTTCCACTTTCTATTTTCTCTGGCTCATTTAAGGGAATCCCTTTGACTATGCCTTTTTTGCTATTTTACTTCCCATTACATGTAAAAATTCTTAAGCTGACCTAGGGGTAACTCTCTCAGTTTATTTTCTAACTTTATTCCATTAATTTCTTTTTTCATGCTTTATTGCAATTGCTAAGATTTAGGAACCTGTGTCAAATAGGAGTGGAGAGAGCCAACATCCCTATTTAACCATTTTTTGGATGGGATAGTGAGATAATCTAGTGCAGGGGTGGGAAACATGTGGCCCTCTGGGTCCTCAAATGTGGCCCTCTGACTGAATCCAAACTTCACAGAACAAATTCTTTTATTTATTTTATTTATTTATTAGGGGAGCATATATAGACAGAGGGCACAGGTGTGAGTTGAATATGAAGGTATGATATCTAAAAAATAAAATTAAGGCATGAGAGAGGAATGTACTGGGAGAAAGAGAAAGGGAGAGATAGAATGAGATAAATTATTTCGTATAAAAGAGGCAAGAAAAAGCTTTTGCAATGGACAGGAAGAGGGGGGAGGTGAGGGAGAGTGAGTGAACCTTACTCTCATCAGAATTGACTCAAAGAGGGAATAACATACACACTCAGTTGAGTATAGAAATCTATCTTACCCTACAGGAAAATAGGAGGGGAAGGGGATAAGAGAAGGGGGTGGTGTGATAGAAGGGAGATCAGATTGGAGGAAGGGGTAGTCAGAAGCAAAACACTCTTGAAGAAGGACAGGGTGAAAGGAGAGAGAGAATAAAGTAAACTGGGAGGGGCAGGAATAGGATGGAGGGAAATACAGTTAGCAATAGTGACTGTGAAAAAAATTTTTGAAGTCAATTTCTCGGATAAAGGCCTCATTTCTCAAACATATAGAGAACTGAGACAAATTTATAAAAATAAGAACCATTCCCCAATTGATAAATGATCAAAAGGTATGATCAGTTTTCAGACGAAGTAATCAAAGCTATCTACCTATAGCCATATGAAAAAATGCTCTAATTCACTATTGATTGGAGAAATGAAAATTGAAACAATTCTGAGGTACTACCTCATATCTATTAGGTTGGCTAACAGGACAGAAAAGATAAATGACAAATGCTGGAGGGAACATGGGAAGAGAGAGACTTTAATGCACTATTGGTGGAGTTGTGCGTTGATTCAACCATTTTGTAGAACAATTTGGAATTATGCCCCAACAGCTAGAAAACCATGAATAAATACCCTTTGACCTAGCAATACCACTACTAGGTCTGTATCTCAAAAGAGATTAAAAAAAAAAAAAGGAAAAGGACCTATAGGTACCAAAGTATTTATAGACCTCTTTTCTGGAGGTAAAGAATTAGAAGTTGAGGGGATGCCCATCAATTAGGGAATGGCTGAACAAATTGTGGTACGTAATTATGATGAATACTATTGTACTATAAGAAGTGATTAGCTGAACGCTCTCAGAAAAACCTATAAAGACTTGTATGGGCTGATGCAAAGTGAAATGTACTGTGTACAGAGTAACAGCAATTTTGTAAGATGATCAGCCGTGAATGACTTACCTATTCTCAGCAATACAATGATCCAAGACAATTCTGAAGGATTTATGATGAAAAATGCTATCCATCCCCAGAGAAAAAACTGTTGGTGTCTGAATAGAAATTGAGGCATACTTTTTTCACTTTATTTTCCTTGAGTTTTTTTCTTGTCTATGTTTTCTTTCACTACATCACTATTATGAATATGTTTTGCATGATTACAGATGTATAACCTAATGGAATTGCTTGCCTTCTCAATGGGGGTTGGGGATGGAAGAAGGGAGAAAATTTGGAACTCAAAGCTTTAAAAATGCTAAGATTGTTTTTACATGTAACTGGGGGAAAATTAAATACTAAATAAAAGCTTTAAAAAAAGAGAGATAGAAAGTTCATCTGATTCTTAAATCTGAGGACTCATTTTTCCATGCAAAAGTAGAACCCTGATCTAACGTATCAAAGTGATATCAGTGTCTAACCTCTTGAGGTGACAAAGAAGGGGGACCAGACTATCTATAAACAGCCTGGTATCTTGGGAAGAGCTCTGAATTTAGCATCAGAAGACCTGGATTCAAATCTCTCCCTTTTACTACTTGTGTGACTTTGGGCAAGTCACTTAAAATCTCTGGACTTTCATGTCCTTTGACCCAAAAATATCACTAGTAAGCTGATACCCCCAAGAGATAAGAAAAGGGCCAATGTGTACAAAAATATTTGGAGCAGTGTTTTTTGTAGTGGCAAAGAACTAGAAAACAAGGGGGTACTTATCAATTGGGGAATGGCTAAACAGATTGTGGCATATGCAATATACCAAATAATAATTCACTACTATTATGCTATGAGAAATGAAGAAAGGGGAGGTTTCAGAGACCTGGGGATATTTATGACACTGAAAAAAACTTTGAAAGACTTAAGGACCAATGGTGAAATATGTTCCCCACCTCCTGACAGAGAGATGATGGACTCAAGGTACACAATGAGATACGAACCTTTTGGACATGGGCAATAGAGGAATTTGTTTACTTTGACTAGTTGTTAACAAAGGTTTTGTTTTTCTTTCACATGGAGGGAGAAGGTGGAAGGGAGAGAAAATAAATTTTTGTTCAACAAAAAAAATAAAATTTATTTTTTTCAATGGGAGGATAAACTACATAATCACTTAATTCCATGTAAGCTTTAAACCTATGATACCCTGATTCTAAACCCAAAGTCATTCACCCAAGAAATGGAATTTCTTCTACTAGGATGTTTGTGAACTACTAATTCCATGTTCACAAGTGAGATAACCCAGTTTCCCCTCCCTTTCTCCCTCATACCCACAAATAAAAGCTACATATCAGAAAAATCCAGCTGTGTGACCTGAAATCCTGAAATTTGCTCGATCCTAAGAGGTAGCCTGCTATTCTTTAGGACCATGCTTTAAGGATTGAGGTTGTTGGCCATACTCCCTTAGAGTCGTGGAGAAAAACCTGACACCATAATAGTTTCTCCTGTAGTGTAGCTGGAGTCTGGAGAACACAGGAAAGACACAACTCCAGCACATTCTTCTGGACACCCCACCCTGCAGGCAGAGAAAGAAAGAAAGGAGGCTGGGCTATGCTTTATTGCCATGTCTCCCATTGCCTCCATTGACTGGTATTGCTGCTCAAAAAAAAAATTAGAGAAAAAACAGAAAAAAAATAGAAGCCTTTCCTTACTCTGTGAAGACCCTCTTACTTCCTAGAGTTGAACATGGGACTGGGCTACACAGAGACACACAGAAATTTCTGAGGATTACACTGACACTGGGATGACCAGAATAGCATTGGTGGAAGAAAAAGTGAAGAGTGAAAAAAAAGAATACCCTAGAAACTTCTCTACTCAATTTTCTTCTAAAGAATATGACAATTACCTTGTCTATCTATGTTGTTTCATGAAATTCTGGAGAAAATTTTTATCCTTCCAGATCTGAGGGGAAAAGAGGAAAGACAAAAGTTTAGCACTACCCACTTAGTTTTCCTTTGAGATAGAGGCTTTGGTGGCCATGACCCCAATCCCACACTATTTGTTCTGGTCCAGAATTTGCATGAGGTTTCTGAGGAAAACATTACTGCTCTTCTAGAGAGGTGAGATATGCAAAGTGTGAAGTAGATGAACAGGAATCTTGGAGGACAGGTATCCCTGTTCTTATCCTAACAAAATAGACAGCAGACAGGATTCAGGGCAGGTAGTGGAAAGGAAAGGGTCCTGGGCTTCTTTTCTTGCTAGGTCTGTGGATGGTCACCACAACAATCCTCATACTCTTGAAGAATGCCAATACAAAAGACAGTAACAGCAATAACAAAGCTCAGAAAGGGCCTGAAATGTTGCCTCTTGGAAAGGACAACAACCAGGTGGGGGTTGAGCAGGTCCCCAATACCTCACAAGCAAAGGAAGGTCTTCTTGAGTTGGAGCTCTCAGAGCTGCAGAACTGAAGTCTGAGGGCCCCAGCCCTTAACTGTTCAGGTCTCTACAGAGCAGGGGTGGTGATGAGAGCAGCTTCAAGGAGAGGAAGACCAAGTCCTTACCACTTGGCTGAACTGGGTCCTGATTACTCCTGGTGCCAAGCAGTTCCCTCGGATGCCCTTTGGTGCCAGCTCCAAAGACAAGGTTCTGGTGAGCCCCAGGAGGGCTGTCTTGCTGACATTGTAGGGACCCAGAGTCTAGGATTGGAAACACATAACAATTCCTATCACCTCCCTTTGTGAACTAAGCCACCGATTGCACAGAGTAGTGCAATGAAAAGAGAATTAAATTTGGAATGGAGACCTGGCTCCAAATCTTGGCTCCACTATTTATACTGTATGACCTTGGACAAGTGACTTCACTATTCAGGGCTCCTGTGTCATCATCTGTAAAATGAAGTGGGTAGACCACAGAGTGACTAGCTCTGCCCCTGCACTAAATCTTAAATGGTGGCACAGATTTTTGGGACAGGACCAAGCTGTGCCTTCTAAATGATAATCAGTCAAAGATATTTACTAGCCTCTTCCTCACATTAAGAGTCACCAAAGAGTGAGAGGGCAAGGAAAAGTTCTTGGAATAAGATTCCCTTCTGAGATTAGATTTCATAGAATTAGATATTTACAGCTGAAAGGGCCTTGACAAGACATCGAGTACAACTCCTTCATTTTATATGTCATTTTACAGCTCAAGAAACTGAGGTTCAAATGGGTGAAATGAATTGACATGGTCACTCCGCTAAAAGTGTCAGAGGCAGAATTTGAACCAAGGTCTTCCTGTCTCCAAACTTAACACACTCTCTACTCCTCTATGCTGCCTCTCTTGAGAACACATGTTAAAACATGGAGCCTTGTAACTTCCAGAATAACAGGTACCCAAAAACACTGTTGGTGGAACTTTGAATTGCTTCAGCTATCCTGGAAAGTAATTTGGAATGATGCCTGAAAGTCACTAAACAGTGCATTCCCTTTCACTTACTAATACCACTACTGGTATTACTGGTAAAGAAATCAAAAAGGAAAAGGCCAGTACAAAAATATTTTTAGTAGCTCTTTTTGTAACAGGAAAAAAACCTAGAAACCTAGGAGATGTTTCCCCCCCCCCCCAATTTGTTAATGGCTAAACAAATGATGACATATGGATATGATGGCATTTATTGGGCCATGACAAATGGCAGAATGGACAGTTGCAGGGAAAGCTGGAAAGACCGGTATAAATTAATGAAGAGTAAAATGAGCAGAACTAGGAGAGCAATTTATACAACAACAATAACATTATATAGACAAACAACTTTCAAAGGCTCTAGAATGCCAGTCAATGCAATGACAAACCATGGTTCCAGAAGACTGAAGACCAAAGATTTACTCACCCTCCCAACAGAGAGAGGACACATAATGCAGAATGAGATCCATATTTTTGGACATACCTTGACTATACACATTTGGTATAAGGGTTCTCTTTTTGGATATTGCTTTGTTCATTAGATGGGGTGGGGGAGAGGGAAGGGAGAGAAAATAAATACTTATAAATTGACGAAAAGGGGGAAGGCTTTAGCCAGAGACTGTTACAAGAGGAAATATATTTTTCTCCATTTATTTTCTATTCTTATTGTCCCATTTGCAAACACTATTGCTGCTTCCTCTCCCCCCCCCCACCCTTCTTCCATCCAACCATTTTGACCTCCTGGGTCCCAGCAGGAGGAGGCCTGGTGGCCTGAGTTCAGAACTCTGGACAGAGCTAAGCCCCTTTAGGGCTTTGCTGAGATACAGGAAATACAAGGAAGACGCACTCGATGGATGGTGACGCTCAGTGACTTTGTGTCTATAAGCCCATATGGTAGTATGCATGTGTACTTTTAAACCTTTTTTCCCTAAGCATAAATGTTTGAATGAATAAATTTAACATATGAATGATGAAAAAAGACAGAGCTTCCTTCCCTTGTGCCCATGGCCTCTTGTTGTCAGCTTGAGTTAGCTGAGCCTGGAAGGGTGATTGATTTGGCTCCTCTCATATACAATCAACCTCAGGTAAAGTTTTGATGGAGGTGAGAGATGAAGAGAGGAGGTGGCTTCTGTCTTTAATTTACAGGAATGTTCTTGTTAGACACATCCCTATGGCCTGAGCCCTCCCTTCCAAGCTCAGGTGGATGCAATTGTCAAACCTGCCTTATGAACCACCAATCATACCAAGAGTTGAAGATTAGAACAACACTTACTATCACAGGAGCATAGGCCATAATAGAGGAAACAAAAACCACAGCACTTGCCCTACAAAGAGAGAGGAAACATTGAGAGTTGAGTTTGGCCAGATGATTAGATGTCTGCTGGGGAAAGAAAGGGTGAAGGAGGATGGATGGGCTTTTCCCTGGAGGGGAGGAATCAAGGTTCTATCCTGAGGCCACACTCAGCTAAACTTCACCTTTGGTAGACATACTTCTGCATATGTTCAATCAGCAACCAGGTGCAATGGAAGGAAGTGCTGTTTAGGAGTCAGAAGACCTGGATTCAAATTCCAACTCTGCTAATTGATATCTTTGTGACTTTAGGCAAGTCACTTCACATTTCTTGGCTTCAGTTTCTTCATCAGCAGAGTTGGATGCTATGACCTCTGATAATACTTCCCACTCGAAAATTCTCTGATTCTGTAATTAAGCACCAACTATGTTCTAAGACCTATACTAAATACTGGAGACAAAGAAATAGTAAAAAAAAAAAACAAAAAAAAAACCAATTAAAATGGGAAAGGATACATCCTTCACTTCTCAAAGACCTTACAACCCAAGAGGCACAGTTATGACAAGAATATGAAAAGTATGATACAAGGTAGTATGTCATCTGCTGCTTTTGACATAAATAGGCCAAGTTAGTAGCAGCACAGCTGTATTATTATTTGTGTCCTAGCCATGGTTATGATTACAGTTGAATCAAGAACTCACATGCAGGTTCCTCCTTACAGTGATGGGCAACCACGGCACATTCCCTTATGAAATGACTTAATAGCCCATTAGAGCCCAGGTTTCGTAGTCATCCTTGAGAAGGAATAATACAACTCTGTTTACATGGAAAGAATGACAGAGAACATTTAAAATAGAATCCTTGGCTTCCTTCAAAGCATGGCTTAGATTGCCTCCTCCTACAGGAAGCCCTTTCCTGATTCTGTCTCTACCCACCTCCCCAGTTATTATTCTTTCATTCCCCTGAAATTACTCTGTATTACTCTCTATACTTTGTGGTTACTTGCATATGTGCTGTATTCTCCCATTAGAATGAAAACTCCCTGAGGGCAGGAATTATTTCATTTTTTTTTGTATCTCCAGGAACCTGTCCTAGTGCTTGTACATAGTGCATGGTTCATAAATATTTGCTGATCTAATGTAATTTCTTCTGTTCCAAATGTAGAACATTGACTTTTTAATCCAAACAGGGAGGTCCAAGCAGAGCCAGACAGTCCCTGACTCTGATCAGCAGTCCCATTTTATAGGAGATAGGTAGTGATCATTCAGGTCCTGGTTACAGTTTGAGGGAAGATCATTCCTCTTCTTCTCTAAATCCAGAGAAAGTCATGGAAATGTAAAGACAGAGAGAAATCTGGAAAGTGGGGTTGACTCTCCCAAGGAGAACTGGTTTTCCTGGGTCTCTCTTACCTCGGATCTGGTTTTGCCCAAATGTCTTGTTCCTCCTCCTTTTCTCCTAGGGTCACCATGTGTGGTAAAGCCAGCTTCACAAGCCGGCCTGGTGCTTTCACACTAATATCCATTATCTAAAACCGTGAAAAGGATGGTGTAAAGGGAGACTTCTCTACCTCCTGTCACTACTCAGATGGCCTTAGGAGCAGAGGTGGCCCAATAAAAAGTAGACTGGGGTGAGATTAACTAATTAGTGACTTCACTTTGGGTCCAGATTATTTTATCATCTGTTCCCCACATTTATTCATCTTCATCCTCAAGGAAAATATAGGAGATTTTCTCAAATGATGCACTAAAATCCAGATAAATGAGACTTCTGAGCTGCCAATATAGTAACACTCTCAATCAATTAATCAGTCAGAATTTGTTGAATGTTTCTAATGTTCTCTTCACTGTGCTCAGTGAAGAAACATGACATTAGTATGGAGTGATGTTTTTGGGGGGTTTTCTTGTATTTAGGTTAGGCAATGGGGTAAAGTGAGTTGTCCAAGGTCACACAACTAATAAGTGTTATATGCCTGAGGTGAGATTTGAACTCAGGTCCTCCTGAATCCAGGGCTGGTACTCTATCCACTGTGCCACCTAGCTGCCTCAAATGATGTTCTTTTAATGAAACTATTCCAACTCTTAGTACTGCTTCCCCTTCTAAATGTTCACAAAGCATCCTTTTAATTATACATTCAAGACTACTCATGAACCCTGAGCCAGTCACTTGACTTTTCTAGGGCTCTTTTTTCCTTATTTGCAAAATGAAGAGGCTGGATTTGATCACTTCTAAATCCTTCCCACCCCACAGTTCTAGATCTATGATTCTAATTATCAGAGGCTGCCAAAGGACAGAGGGTTCCTCACCTCGACTAATGCTTCAATTTACCCCACAAACTATGAGGCAAATGTCTGCCTCTCTTCTTGGAGGATCCATCCTGGGTGTGGTCTTACCTTGTCCCACATTTCTTCACTGGCACCCAGTGTACTCCAAGTCATAGGGCTGACACCTGCCACACAAACCAGGAAGTTGATAAACCCATGTTTTGCAGAAGCCTAGATGGAAATCAGAGGAGTTGAGGTTAAGTCTCAGTGGACAGATGGACAGTGGACAAATGAAACTGTTGCCAGGACACTGTCCCTTTGAGACCTGAATATGGAATTGTAAAGATGGTCTCCTCAGTGATATTCATACTCATCCTTGCCAAGAAGTATTCTCACCATGGACACTAGCCTCTTACAATATTCTTCCTTTCCCACATGGCACACGGTTCCTGAAGCACTCTGTCCTTGAAGTTTTTCAACTGCACAATCTACATTCTGTTGTTTTCTGATGCTCACAATCACATGGGCCCCATCTCTGGCCAGATGTTGTGCAACAGCAAAACCAATCCTATGGGAGATTGGGGGAAAGAGACAGAGAGATGCTCCCTTTCAGAGGACCAGGAATGAGAACCATAAGCTGTGAGATGAAAATTTCAGAGTAGCTATGCCTTTCTGAACCCCCAATCAGTAGCACTCACCCATCTGTGGAACCTGTGATCAGGGCCACTTTATCAACCAGAACTCCCCTCCTGTCTGCTGCAGTACTTCTCATTCTCACTGAGAAAGGGACCAGAGGGAGAAACAGATGCCTTTGGGGCCATACCACTGCCCTCTACGTGATAGTTAGTGATCAATCTTCTTCCTAGTAGACCTGGTCCCAAAAAAGGAGCCTGAGATGGGCAAGACAAAAGAAAACAAACAAACAAAAAACCATTCACACCTGAAGTTAATAGCAGGATCAGCAACTCAATTTGAATCACAGAAGTGTTTTTCTTTCTCTGTCATAGAAAGGGTCAGAAGAGATTCAGAGAGAGGGAGAACTCTTCAAACTAGAGGCACCCATTACACTGGCAAAGGTAGTTAAGCATGATGAAATATAATGTTGGCATAGTTGTGGGGAAACAGGAACTCTCCACTCCACATGAAGTAGTGGATTGGTGCTGTCTCTTTGGAGAGCAATCTGGTAATAAGCAGTAAGGGTCAGAAAATTTGTCATGTCCTTTGATTCCTCAGCATAATGGATAGAATATTGGAGTGGAGTCAGAAAGATCAGGTTTGAATCCTACCTCAGACCCTTACTAGCTGCGTGAGTCAGGACAAGTCACTTAATCTCTCAGACTCAGTTTCCAAATCTGCAAAATGAAGAAAATGGACTCAAAGTTATCAAAGGTCCCTTCTAGCTCCAAATCTATAATTCTGAGAGAATAGCAGGACTATCCCACCCACATTCCTGACCATAATGCCTGTCCCAGTGAAGCCTAAGAGTACATTATCTCTTTTGGCTTTTATTTTACACTATTGACTGATATTAAGCTTGTAATCCACTAAAAATCTTTCAGATTCCTTTTTGGACAGCTTGTTCCATTTTTTGATGGTTGGTGAATTCCCTAGGCATTTACTTCAGTCTCTTCATACAGCTCCTGACTTTCCTCATCGTTGGAGTCTTTTCCATTTGTATCTTCACAACTTCATTCTTGACAGTTTCCCATTCATCCTGGATTGAGTTCCTCCAGTAGAATTTTAGCCCATGGGGTCTTATCTAACCTTGCTCTAAACTTTAGACTTCATCTACTTTATTTTACAGATGAGGAAATTGAGATCCAATTAATAGTAAAGTGACTTAAACAAAGTCACACAGCAAATTAATAGGAGAATTGGAATTGGAACCTAGATCTCCTGACCCCCAGTGCTCCTTCCACCACACAACACTGCTTGCCTATTGTTGTATTCTAGTTTACATTCAATTTTTGGAATTTAGGTTGCTCCTAGATTCAGTGAAAGAGTCCCCCATCATCACATGTACTATGGAAAGTCTGGCTTCATTTCCCAGGAACTGTGATCCACTGACAGAAGGATGAAGATTGGAAAGGTGAAGCAGAATCCTAGCCCATCGTCTAGCCCAGTGATTCTCAAAATGTAGTCGTGAGATTTCTGGGAGTGGCTAAGACCCTTTCAGGGAATCAGCAAGATTGAAACCATCTTCTTAACAATACTAAGATGTTTGAATTTCTATACGACAAATATCAATATGTATGATCAACATGAAGAAAAGCTCTTTGAAGGAGGATCCTTAAAATTTTTTTACAAGTGAAAATGGGTCCTGAGACCAAAAAGGTTGAGAATCAGTGCTCTAAACTTTCCATCTTCTTTTCTTCTTTTGCCCAGTAATCTGGCCCAAAGCCCCAAAAGGGGCTGAAAGAGTGTATGTCATAGGACTAACCAAAGGTCAAGTCAGAGATAACTGGCAGTGGTGGGATTCAAATTCTGATTTCAATTACAACATTCTTTCCAGTGTCCCATGCTCCCTCCCTGGACGCCTCAGCCCCTGACAGTAACTGGGTTCTGTTATTCTAGCTCCTGGGGAGGTGGTCTCCTCTGTTGGCCCCAACCTCAAGGGGAGAGAAGGACAGTTATTCTGTAGGTACAAGAACCTCTGGCACCAGAGATGAGACAGGTTTTAGAATCTAGATGAGGATATTCCTTCCTTGAGTTGACAGCCCAATAGAAGAAATAAACATGAGAGGAACATTTTGCAAGTGGTTGAGGGAATAGTCTAGCCTGGTTTGCTTCCATATAATACCTTTTTGTGAGTGAGGAGCTCCAGTACTTTTCAAACTTCCTAATATTGGTAGATACAGTGCAGTTTGAGAGATGATAAATGGAACTGGTGGCTAAGTCCCCAAGGACTACTCATTGATAAGAAGACCAAGGAACAAGGGGCTAAATCTCTGCAGAACAGCAACTGGTGATTCAGCTGCAGTGCAAGGCACTGAGGCACCCTCTAACTGTGGCCAGGGAGGCAAGAAGTATGGCCCAATGGCCTGTGTGTAGAACTATAGTTACATTAAAAAGTCATCATAACCAGAGCCTGGAATAAGGATCTGGGGACTGTAGACAGGGCTATCCCCTTGGTAATTATAGAACCTAAGAAAACCATTTCTTTCTGAGGACACCCTTTAGACTACACTCTCCACATGAATTTTTATATAAGTAAAATTCAAGTAAAATGATCATCTAGGGCAGCTAGGTGACGCAGTGGGTAGAGCACCAGCCCTAAATCAGGAGGATCTGAGTTCAAATCTGACCTCACACCAAACACTTGACACTTACTAGCTGTGTGTGACCCTGGGCAAGTCACTTAACCCCAATTGCCTAAAAATTTAAAAAAAATTTTAAACAATCATCAATGTTTCATTTTAGCCAATGGTAATCACAAAGCCCCCAAAAGGCAGGGTGTGTATCTGTGTGTGTGTGTGTGTAAGCATTACAATGTGGTTCTACATGCTTTAATCCTTCAGTGGGAAAAGGAGACCAAACTACCTTCTCCTGGAATAGCATATGCCCCAGTGCCCACTGTCATCCCCACAAAATCCCAGGACAAAGATGCCAGTTCAGAGATGGCTCTTGCCCATAGTCAGGCATCTATCTAAGAGAAAGTTATCAAGAATGATATAACAGAAGTTCAAAAGCTCCAACCCTTTCCTCCTAACTGGACACCATTAATTTGTTGCTTCTTCAGGTGACCACAGTGTCTCCCAGCACTGCTCTCCTCCCTTTCAGGACAAACAAGGAGCAATTCCACAGAAGACAATATTGGGTAGATTACTCTTTTCAGCAAAAACTGCTAGTTTGGGAGATTCTAGGAGTTACCAAGAGATTACCTTCAGGCGGATCCTGGCTACCTTGTCTGATGCTTAGACAGGACCCCAGGAGCAGTCTGCCAGGCTCTTAGTACCAAGGCCAGCTTTCTCACCCCTCTGCTTACTTACTCTGGCTTTAAATTGAAATTATCTGTTTTTCACTTCTCACAGAACACACCCCTAGACAGTTCCTTGTCCTCTCCTCCACATCCTTTTGATTGGGTCATCAAATCTTGGGGTTTTTTCTCATCTTTTATTAGGTGATATATTTTTTTATCATCCAATCTTCAGATTAGACCTGAGATTCCAGCTGAGGTACCTATTTATGCAGTAATTGGTATCCCTACCTCAGGTCTCTCCCTACTTCAACCATCTTCCCCACTGTTAGCAAAGTGGTTTTCCTTAAGTGCCAATCTGGTCAAGTCATGCCCTCTTTCATTCTTTATTGCTCTTAAGATAAAATATAAACTCCATCACATAGTGACCCCTCCTATCTTTCCAGCCTCCTTGTTTATTACTCTCCTTCCCCCCCCCCCCGCACTTGTCCCCCCTTCCCCCACATTTTGCTTCATTGTCTTTTCACTGACTATCTATAATGCTTGGAATGAACTCCCTCCTCACCTGGACCTTACAAAGTTCCTTTCTTCCTTCAAGATGCAGCTCAACCATCAGTCTTTCCTGATCCTCCCAACTGCTAGTTCCCACCTTCCTTAGCTACTTGGTACTGAATTACCTTAAATTTGCTCCATTTATATCTTCTATATTTATTCTTTCTGTACTTATATGTGTGATTGTTATCTCTTTGTTAGACTGTAACATTCATGAGAATAGAGATTGCTTCTTCTTTTGTATTTGCATCCCCAAAGCCCTGCAGACAATACCTGGCCCATCTATATTAGGTGCTTACTAAGTACTTGTTGACTTGTTTGGAATTTAATAGAAACTTGGAGGTCATGTAGTCCATGATGATAATACTGATCTTGCTTCATTCTTGCTGAATACATGTCTTCTTCTTTGCTACAGAATTTGGAAAAGTCTGAGGTCTTCTTTATTCACAGAATCCCAGAAGCTGTGGATTGGAAAAGACACAAACCTAAAAGAGGAATTCTGTTTCCAATATCCCTAACAGATAGTAATCCAGCCTCTACTTGAAGGCTACCAATAAGATATATGATATATATATAGGGGTTTTCTCCTGAATGAACACTCATGATTCTCCAGAGTTGTTCTCTGAATGAAACCTTGGCTATACTAGCTACATATAGAAGGGTTCTTCGCTGTAGACCTTCTGATGCCTAAAAAAAAATTTGGTTTATAATTTAATTCTCTTCCACATGGCTCATATTTATAAGATTTCTCACCTATGTGGCCACCCATTCCACTTGTGGATAACTCTGATACAAAGTTTTTCTTTATGTAGAGTTAAAATTTGCCTCTGAGAAATAAATCATCTTTAATGATCTTGATTCTGTCCTCTGGGGTCATGTAGAACCAGTCTAATCTCTCTTTCTTCAAAGTCATAACCCCTCAACTACTTGAAGATGGCTATTGTTTTCTAGGTCCTCTCTTCTCTGCATTCAAGCTGCACAGTTCCTTCAACTGATGCTCAGGTGGTATGGTTTCCATTCCTCACTCCATCGTGGTTGCCCTCCTTTCTAGCTTCTCAATTGTAGTTGTTGTTCAGCTGTTTCAGACTCTTGTGGCCACATTTAGAGTTTTCCTGGCAAAGATACTGGAGTGGTTTGCCATTTCCTTCTCCAGCTAATTTTACAGATGAGGAAACTGAGGTAAACAGGGTTAAGTGACTTGCCCAGGATTACACAGCTGGTAAGTATCTGAGGCCAGATTTGAACTCAGGAAGATGTCTTCCTGACTTCAGGTCCAGTACTCTATTCACTGAGCCACCTAGCTTCTCAATGCTCTTCTTAAAATGTGTGTAGCAGGGGCAGCTAGGTGGCGCAGAAAATAGAGCACCGGTCCTAAGTCAGGAGTACCTGAGTTCAAATCTGACCTCAAACCAAACACTTGACAAGTCACTAACCCCAATTGCCTAAAAAATAAAATGAAACAAAATGTGTGTAGCAAGTGTTTCCACCACAGCACTTCTTTTCTGTCCAGAGCAGAAGGACACTCCTGAGCTTCTCAATAGAAGGAAACAGGGTAGTGAGACATTGGAAGTCGAGGGGCCTGGGCACAGGCAGCAGGTTGCTAGAGTTCCTCATTTTCTCTTCCTTCAGCCTTGACAGTTACTTCCTCTTCACCATTTGCCAATGGCTAGAATTTATGCCTTTTTCTGCTCAGAGACTCCATGGGAAAGAAACTTGTCCAGGGATGCGTTGATAGGTAACCTTGCCAATCATAAACTATCAACATTCAGTTTAATGTATGTTCAGAGCATAGGCCCATGGTATACAATCAATCAATCAACATTTTTTTTTGGTGAGGCAATCAGGGTTAAGTGACTTGCCCAGGGCCACACAGCTAGTAAGTATCAAGTGTCTGAGGCCGAATTTGAACTCAGGTCCTCCTGACTCCAAGGAAAGAGCTTTATCCACTGTGCCCCCTAGCTGCCCCTCAATCAACATTCATTAAGCACCCACAAAAGGTATTGAAATGGATTTAGCAATGGATTCAGGAAGACCTGAGTTCAAATCCAGTCTCAGACCCTTACTAGTTGTGTGACCCTGGGCAAGTCACTTAACCCCATTATCCTCAGTTTCCTCATCTATAAAATGAGCTGGAGAAGGAAATAGAAAACCACTTCAGTATCTTTGCAGGAAAACCCCTGACTGGAAAATGAACTTTAATATTGTTAATATCAAATGTAATATTCCCTTCTCTATCAAAAGGTCGTCCTGACAGTAAGAGAAAGTCCCTTCCCTCTAGAGCATCCTAAGAATGTCATTGCCTTCCTGCTCTACAGACCCTTATTCTTAATTAGGTTGGGTGGGGCACCATGCCCTGAGAATCTTTAAGCCCTGTTTATCCTGTAAACGGAACTAGTTTAGGCTAGCCTCAGCTACCAAAAGTGTCCTTATCTCCTCCTTGAGGTCTGGGGCAAAGGGGATCATGAAGGGTAAAAAAAAACCGGAATGAAGTGAGTTTTCTTGTTTGGATTGCCAAGGGCAATGAGGTCTCAGTCCTCATATGACTACTCCCTTTTCCCCACTTTTTCCTCCTGAAGGTATTAAAACCATTCTGAAAGTTTTCTTGGTGAACAGCCATGTACTCAGATATATGGGTGGCCCAGGCTCGAGACCCTCTTTATCTTTTTGTAGTAGGAAAAAAACCCAAACAAACCTGGAAACCAAGGGGATGCTCACCTATTGGCTAATGGCTAAACAATCAAATAATGTCTATGTTGTGAAACTTTGTAACACCCATGTAGGTAGGAAAATTAATTCTCTTGTCATTTAGATATGTTAGGTTATAAATTCAGTTGCTGAAGAGTTGTCTAAAAGCTGCTATCTTTGTTAAACAAAGAGTGCTTTATTTCATTCAGATTGCATTAATGGGAAAAGAAAAAAAATTCTTCATTGTTTTATCTGATAAGATGTTTGACATGGTTATAAATTTGTTTCAACTCTGCTAGTGACGTGGTATAAGTTCTATGATTTTTAAACCTAAGAGCTAGAGCTGAAAAGAGCTATAGGTATACCTAGTTAGAATGAGAAAGTTTTTAAGTTCCACTTAACTTTGTTTGATGGGGATGGGATTTTCTCTGGACCCCTAAAAGGAAAAGATGATGTCTTTGGGACCTGGACCCCAAATCCCCTGAACCCAGATATCTGGCCTTCTCCTGAGGTACCCAGCCCATCCCAGTCAATAATCCTTTTAACTGCCCTATTGTCTGCATCTGGCCCATCTCAGGCTACTTTCCACTCCTAGACCCCATCCAGATCTTCCCATAGTCTTTCTGTATAAAAATCTCATTCTCACCCTCAAAAATTGCACAGACTCACCAGGAGTCTGGCCCACTCGTATTGGTGTCACAAATAAACTCGCTGCTTTGACTGGAAGGCTTGAGTAGTCGAATTCTTTTGAGGCAGACCTATGCCCCATACCCTTGCATTTTGGGGTTCCCAGCACCCCTAGACCACAACATGTTCACAATGATTTTCTGTGTAAGTTAATTTGGGTATACATTCAACTGAATTAAGGCAACTTGATGAGAAACAGGTTTTATTTCATGCTTCAATTCCACAATTGTTTGTGATATTGTGCAGATATGCTGTTAGGAATATAGCTTCTCTTCTAATCTGGATGTTGCTAGATTATGAGCTGAACTGTTAAAGGTAAAGAAAATGTTTGAAAACTGTTAATATTTCAAAGTACAGTTTAAGAAACTAGAAACTTCTGTTTGCCTATAATAAGGAGGAAGGTTTATTGGCTATCTACTTATAAAACCTGAATCTCTTGCCTCATTGCAAACTCTTTTTTAGAGACAAATTTTATTGTCAGCACAATTGAAAACACATGACATACAGAGAAGCCCCCCCCCCAAACACAAAGGCAAGAGGAAAAGGCAAAAACAGACAGTAGCCAGTCAAGTCACCATCTTAAGAAGCTTATTTAGTCAAGGATGACTTGCCTTGGGGGAGTTTGAGTGGGAAGAGGGTTGGAGGGAAATACTTTCAGACACGTGGCAAATGGAAAGAATGCCTAATGCATGGAGTGGAAAGACCCAAATTTGAACCCTGGCTCCCCCATCCACACTTACTAGTCAAGTGACCCTGGGCACCAATGATAAGTCTCAGTGTCTTCCTATGTAGGATGAGGACAACACTGCCTGATACTCAACCTTCCCAGGGTTGTTGTGTCCAACGAGGTAATGGGCATAAACATACAGTGATGGTTATTGTACATGGTAACAAGAAAGAACTCACAGGGAAAGAAGAGGATGGGGACTGAGGGAGTCAAGCCTAGTCCCTTCCACCAAACTTGCCTGAATCCAAGATAGCAGGAGGGAACCCTGCCCCCAGATAAATGGGACCTGGAGGAGGAAAGCATAAGTATGTGTGCATACATACACCTACAAAATGTTAACAGTGAGAAAGAATGAGACATTATACAAGATCCATGTTAACAGGGACCACCACAAACAGAAGAAACACTCAATGTGAAACAGCTGGGGGGGGCACAGGGAAGCCCCTGGCACCCAGAACAAGTATCAAAGCTAGGGAAGGGGGTGAGGAAGAGAGAGAGGTAGACAGGAAGTTCTAGCACACAGACTAAGAAAGCATCAGAATTTTTGGTTTTGGGAAGAGTGGGAGGAGCCCTAAGCACACGAACCAAACATCAAAATTAGGGGGAATTCTTGATACACAGACCAAGAAAGCATCAGAGTTTTTATGATTTTGGGGGGCAGGAGGGGCCCTTAGTACATGGAAGAAAAAAAACACCAGAGCTTTTATTGGGGGAAAAGGCCCCCAAAGCAAGAAAACATCAAAGCTGGGGGAGAAGCCTTCCCCACACATCAAAGCATCAAAGCTGGAGGTGGGACAGGTTGGAGGAGCTTCTAGGACACAGACCAAGAAAGGATCAGAGCTTCGGAGTCGGGGTGGGAGGGTGCCAAGAGGGGATGTAGGCCTCAGCTTCCTGAGCAAGAAAGTACCAGTACTTGGGAGAAGCTCAAATGAAGAAAGCCTCAGATTTAGGAAGAAAAGGTTGGGGTGGGGGGAGGAACTCTTTTCACTGAATTTAAGAAAGCATCAGAGGTTGTGTGCATACACTGAGCAAGCAGCAAAGGCGGGGGGGGGGGGGGGGGGGGGGGGGGGGGGGGGGGGGGGGGGGGCTTAGCACTTGGAGCAAAGCTTGGGGGGGGCCTCAAACACTTTTTCATGAGAGGCAGGGGTGGTAATTAGGAATTTGTTTATGGTGTAAGACTGTTTATTGTGGATTATGAAGTTATATCTGGAGTGATCTCTACTGAAGTTACATTTTAACCAATTTATGGTCTTACCAAACTCCAGTCTTAAAGATTTATTTTTGCTTTAAGGATTGAATAAGAGATAGACATCTGCTAGTCTGGAGGTTTACAGCTATCATATATTCATTAGATTCTAATGACTGCCTTTTTACTTCAGGATGATTTTTAAACTGTTTTTGAGAAAGAGAAATGCTAGTAAAAAGGAATGTTAAGTAAAAATCTTTCATGTGATTTTTTTTTCAGAAGCCTGTTTATTTGATAGCTAATTTACTGCAACAACATGACAGTATCGCTAACAATTGTGTCCAGATTAGTGAGACTCTGTTGTTTGAAGTGAAACCTTTTGGGACCCTGAATATTCTTTTTGAACTTCGTTCTTGGGTTTGTTGTGTCCTTGGGCCAATGTTTTCACCACTTCAAGAAAAAACTCCGGCAGCTCAGTGGGAATGACATCTGAGATCTAAGGCCAGTGCATAGCTATTCCTGGGAGTAAGGTTGGGAGGATGACCTTGGGAAGGCTAAGGTTGGACCCTCCTAATTCATCTTCCCTTACAAGAAATCTTCCCATGGGTTAACTCTGAGCTTAGCTATGTATCCTGCCCTATACTTGGTCATTTATGCTATTCTTATACATGTGTTGAGTCATTCTGAGCCCTTGGATTTAGGCCTGGAGGACCACCATTGATGCTGTTATATTCATGTCCATGCT